CTATATTTGGTTAGAGTAACTCTTCCTGGCATGGCCTCCTTCCAAAAGTTAATAAAGAAATAAAGGAAAACTTACCTGCGTTCCAAGTCCAAGTTCTCCTGTCATCCCAATCCTCAGCCAGTGATGTCAGTCCCCTTTACTGCATGATGTCCCAGAGGACATACTGATAAAGGTCTTTTGGAAGCACAAGGTGAGGCAGCATGATACCATTGCTTGTCTGTCACCTGAATGCTATGTGTGCTGACGACAGATACCAAATATACATGGATTTTACGTTAGCTCTTGTTCCGGGACTAATGACACATCCGTAGATGGAGCTACAACTCTCAAACAGCTTTAGCACGTTATGTGCAGCATTTCATTGAGAAACACTGCACATACAAAGTCCAAGCACCATGACCATGTCAAATCACTGAAGTGGTCTTGGTGCTCAAATAACCATTTAAATCCCACTCAATATGCAGAACATTGTGTTTAGTGAACTAAACAATTGACCATCCAGCAGCCCTCGCATAGGTCAAATGGAGGACCTGCTACTGGTTCTCCTTTGTTCACGATTCACTAATGCCTAGTGGAAGTTGCTCGGGAATTTTACCATTTGATTGTCCCCTAAGTAAAGTTATATGAGAAACCACCCTATGCCCACCTAGAACTAGAGACATGGAGTTGAGGCAAGGAATATTATTAGTTATCAATATTATCAGTTATCAATCAACTGGCCATCTCCGGTCAGTTGGAGGACAGTTTGTTAGTATCATCATTACGTCTGAATATGAATTTACTGTCATGGTAATGAAAGAGTCTCAGGCTTCCTCCGTGTAATTGTAGGGTCTAATAAACTCCCATATATTTACACTAAATATAATGAATAATGGTCATGGGTGAGGGAAATAACGGTGGACCACATGCACGACTTCTCCTAATAATTTTGGATCTACCCCAATAGTGTAGCTTATTGTTTCTTTTTAGTTTTCAAACCTTTGCTTGGGTATCTCAAAAGTGGGTATAGGTTGCTAGGACATAAGAAGAATTACGTGTTATAAATTGACAGGGATAAAAGTATATGGGGGCTCTATTGATTTGTTGATTTCAAAGCACTGTGTACACATTTGCTACATTTTGGACCATCACAACATAGAGCACATTGTACGGGTAAAGGTAAGGCCTTGTCGCTGAGCCTTCGAAGTTAATAGAAGTCTGGAAACACTCAGAGTTCTTTTTTTTTTAACAGTATACCTGGTTGCTGTACAGCTGTATTCTTTTACAGGTTTTTATGTTTTACAGGTTAATATGTTTGGCGAAGATCAGGCAATGTATCTGTTTGCTTGCATGTCTCATAAAATAATGTTTATTCACACCTGGTTTATCACATCATCGAAAAATAGAAAAGGGAGAGTGACCACATGTCCCTTATGTTTCTAAAGGAGAAGATTATGCCATAACTAATTAAAACACAACCCATAAAGCATTTGCAATCGAATAGAAAAACAGATGCTATTTACCAACTCAGTTGTGTTTTTATTTATTCCGTTTCAACAAAACTGACCCCCTGAACTTGCATTTGTATTATACCATCTGCGACTTTTGAATTTTCATTGTGTGTTTCAGACCACAAAACTTTGCTCTGCAATAGCCTTCTGCTTCCACACCCTAGTGGAATTAAATAATTAGATAAATTAACTAGTAAACTGTTAAAATATTGTTGTATCTCATCTCTCCCATGTTGAATACATACTTCTTTATTTAAGCCACAATGTGAACTACTAAGACGGTAATCAGAAGTATACATGAGCGTTACAAAACAATATTTTCTCTGTTCTCAGGTGATAAGTGCATTAATATTAAGATGCATAAATCATCCATTGTGTTTACTGTGCCTGGGAGGTACTCATATCTGCTTCATTGCCTTTGGTTCTTATCCATTTCACTACCTTTACTTATTACACACCTCACTGTCTTGGCAAAGGATTTTCTTAGCTTCATAAACTGCCACGTCACTTTTTAAATTGATTTTCCATTTAATTCTCTATTTTTTCACACCGTGAATGTTTCTGTCGCTGTTGGTGCCAGAGGAAAAGAAAGGAATATTGAAATGCTTATTAAAATACCTGTTATAACCAAAATATCTCTTGGATTTCATAGAAACTAACAATTATGTGCATTGTGGAATATCTCTTTTTGAGTCTATATATATATATATATATATATATATATTTTTTTTTTTAATCTGGCATATATACGGTGCTAGTGTGTTCAGCATTGTTACTGTAATTTCCTGGTTTCCTGTTTCATTTCCTTGGTATTTCCTGCAAACCACAAAATACAGAACAAAGCACATTTACCAGCAATTTTATTCAAACAGCCGACCCGTTTATTGGATTCGGCTGCTTGAATTTGGGATTACTTTAAATCAATCTGAAATTGGACAAAATAAAAATCATTCAAAATAGTCAATATTTATAAATTGTTTTCAGATGAAAGAGGCCAATGTTGGATATTTTGACCATACCGATTCAAATATTGCCTGTATAGTAGCGTATACAGTTCATAACATGTAATTTGCTGGTTCGAATGCACTGGTGATTATGGGGCAAATGCATCACTCGTAATTGCAATAAAAATACTTTCAACATTTGTTGGATAAAACCAATAACTAGTTAATATTTGTAAGTGCATAACTATAATGCTTTAAAGCAAGCAAATTGTCCTTAAAGGGAATCAAGGGATTTGATTAAATTTTTAGAGTAAATGGTACATTAAAAAAGGTATATTTTTGGAGAAATCTGCCAATTTTCTCTTTTATTGCAACAGAAAGTTTATGTTTGGTGCTTATAATTTATGTATTGATCATATATTTTCTAGTCTATGATAGAGATTTGAATTACAGTTATATTCTGATTGCATATAACACTCAGCCTCTTAGGGTTCATGAACTCACTTAAAAAAGCACTATAAGGTCAGGAACACAAACATGTATTCCTGACCTTATGGTGTTAAAACCACTATCTAGCCCCCTTGGCCCCCTTTGCCTCCCTAAAGATAGTAAAATCTTACTTGTATTCAAGTCTGAAGCTGTTGCCTCTGCCTGTGAACTTCTTCTGACCTCTGACATCATCAGAAGTGGTGGCCTAATCCAATCACAATGCTTCCCCATAGTATTGGCTGAGACTGACAAGGAGGCAGATCAGGGGCTGGGTCATCACAATTCAAACACAGCCATGGTCAATCAGCATCTCCTCATAGAGATGAATTGAATCAATGAATCTCTATGAGGAAAGTTTAGTGTCTGCATGCAGAGGGAGGAGATACTGAATGTTTGGATGCATTTTAGGCAGCCATGACCCAGGAAGGATCTTTAACAGCCATCTAAGGAGTGGCCAGTGAGGTTATCACTAGGCTGTAATGTAAACACTGCATTTTCTCTGAATAGACAGTGTTTACAGCAAAAAGCCTGAAGGTAATGATTCTACTCACCAGAACAAATTCAATAAGTTGTTCTGGTGACTATAGTGTCCCTTTAAGCTAGCTGTCCTTTGTATATTACCAGCTTCTCTCACCAGTTTAAGACTGCAAGGGGTAAAGGTGAACTAAATTATTCAAACTAGTTTTCCTCAAGGTATTTCATACAAAAACTCATAGCAAACCAATACATGCAAAAATATAGATTTTATATTTATATTACAGATGTTTGACATCTATCAAAGATAAAGTGCATAATATTCAAAAATAATACAAGAATAGTACAAATAAATAAAGTGCATATACCCAGTAGTGTTATATCAAGTATGGTGACCCAGGGCCAAAAAAGAAATCTGTTTCGGCTAGTGCATTCCTCATGGGGATCCAAGAGACCTGTGGTCAGAAAGCCTATTTAAAACCTAAGTGAAAAGTAAAACTCTCCCATTAAAAACATTTGGCTGCATCCAAATCGATATCATCTGTGTGAACAGACTTATAGAATGATTTCAAACGTTCCGTGTGCGATGTCACCACGCATTCATCGTTCACATCTACTGCTCGCGGTGGCAGCCAAATTTGCTCCTAACATATGCTGAATGCAGACGCCTGCCCATATATCTATGGAGGGCCATAAGGTCCAAAAGGGTATGTTATGCAGATCGGGGGAGGAACCAATTGTTCCACTTCCCCAATTAACAATAGGAGGTTTGTCCTCACGTGTATAGCGAAATTGGCGATGCAGAGAAACATGTCTAAACTGAAACCATGATAAGTTGCAGATCCTTTGCAAGCCCTCTTAACCTCGCCCAGACTTTCTGGGGCTGTCCAATCACAGACTTCCCAATGCAGCTCAATGAGAAGTCTTTACAATGTGTCCTGAGCAATTGCTGTTTCTTGGCTCCACTGATCAAAACAAACTAGGAAGTAACAGAACCGATTCTCTGATTGACAATCGAGGGGTTGTAACAAGATTAATGTATAAAAGATTACATTTCTATTGAAAACTGCACTTTTTGTAAAATGAAAAAAAGAGGCCACAGTCTTCACACATAAAGCACTTCAGCCAGCTGCATTGATTTAAGGGTCCTGGTGGTCGCTTTAACCTTTTTTTTTGTTTTTTAATTTGCAGGTACAGTTTACCCTTAAGCTGCACTCCAGCAAGCATGCTGTGGAAGAACTCAGTGTAACTACGGCTCCATGCAAATGTCACTGGGAATTCACATAATAAACCACTCACTAAACAGAACCAGAATCTTAATATCACTATAACAGGAACATGATTTGAAATGATCACCAATATGGTGCTTTATTACTGCTGGTATCTGTGAGGTGTTGCCTCCTCATATCTCTGTGACCTAAAAACATGTTCCCATGATATATAATATTTAGCCAAGTATCCATTAATGGAAGAGTGAAATGACATAAAACTGTCTTATAGTGATGTCCCGAACGGTTCACTGAACGGTTCGCGAACGGTTCGCCCGCGAACGGTTCGCCACGGACTCATATTGAGTAAACTTTGACCCTGTACCTCACAGTCAGCAGACACATTCCAGCCAATCAGCAGCAGACCCTCCCTCCCAGACCTTCCCACCTCCTGGACAGCATCCATTTTGAAGCTGCATTCTTAGTGAGCTGTCCAGGAGGTGGGAGGGTCTGGGAGGGAGGGTCTGCTGCTGATTGGCTGGAATGTGTCTGCTGACTGTGAGGTACAGGGTCAAAGTTTACTCAATATGAGTCCGTGGCGAACCGTTTGCGGGCGAACCATTCGCGAACCGTTCGGCAAACCGTTCGGGACATCACTACTGTCTTACATTGAAGTAGTAACTCTCTTTAACAATGTGTCTAATCCCAGAAATCCAATATAATGCTTTTATTTTCTATCACTTAGTCACACTCAGAGTCTGGAGCCGTACCCAAAGACAAGATAAAATCACTTCATAAACAATCAACATTATTTTGATTTGTTATTTTTCAAAGAATAATTCAATATAATGCACATTGACTATTCTAATAGATCCTTTCATGCAATAATTGCTCAATTCTAAAACAGCTACTTAATCCGCTCTGAGAACAATTGCTCAGTCCAGTCAATAGTGGATTAAAGTAGATAATATCCAGGGTTACTTTGGATTTTTTGAAATCATCGTCTTTTAAGGAATCAGAAATTCGGCAGAACAAAATTAATAAACAAAGAAACTACACCAAGCCTTACATATTTAATAAGGCAGAACATTGCATAGTGTAACATTGCTTTTATGATCCTTAGGTCCCTTTAGAAAAGAGACAATTTTTAATACAATAGTCTTATTTCTAATATATATTATATTTATCTTATTGGTTTCAATCAATCTGTCTATCCATCTATCCATCCATCCATCCATCCATCTATCCATCCATCTATCCATCCATCTATCCATCCATCTATCCATCTATCTACATATATGAATTGTGGTACACAAGTATGTGGATTATCACATTACGATTAGCTAGCTGTAATAAGCTGACATTTCTTCTCAAATATTTGCTAAATTTAAATTCCAATATCTGAGATAACAAATATTAGTAGGGAAATATTGCAACTTGAATGCCTCTATAAACTCTTAAGGTCGGAGGCAATTGACCAAGACCTGACCAAAAGGAAACCTAAGATTTGAGCTGTATGTCTGTTCAACAATACCAGTAATGTACCTCTTTCATATAAAGTGCACCCACACTTATCATATATCATTGTGTTCAGAAGAAATAGGTCTTTCATTTCACATCAAATATTAATATATGAAACACAATTTAATATAAATAAAATCTAAAAAAGTGTACAAAATTAAGAACTTTTATTTTCCATGTTTAACTGTGAATGTCTCAATACATAATAGCTTGTACTGCAATAAAACACACATTTGTGTATGCTGTGTTGTCCCACAAGGTTTCATTGTGTTTTGGAAAGTTACAGGGTCAAAAAAACAGCTTGCCCATTTCAGTTCTTGCTCATTGAAATTTGCTAGATTGGTTTGCTGGGCCCATGATGCCTTTAACCCCTTAAGGACCAAACTTCTGCAATAAAAGGGAATCATGACATGTCACACATGTCATGTGTCCTTAAGGGGTTAAGACCGTATGGCAACCCAGGATTGAGAATTACCTGCAACATAACGTACCATTGACAATACCCAGGGTATTCAAAATAGGTTTTGTCCAGTCTATTTTAGTAGCCACTTAGTCACAACACACAGCCATTGTTAGTTTTAATATTTGTTGGTTTTTGTTGTTGTTTTTTTTCCAATTAATAAAATAATACAATTATATATAAATAATGTATATATAATTTAAAGCGGCACTGTCATGCCGAACTTACCTTTCCTCAATCTCTTCCTCTTCTCCCCCTCTCTCAGGATCTGTTCTTCTTTTCTTCCTGTCTTGTTTAATTTTCTTTAAAATCATAAAACAAAGTAGGGACTTTTTGCCTTATGGAGGATTCCTCCGCTTGACCTGCTCTGACCAGCGGAGGAGCAAAGTGTGCTTCATTTCCGCTGGTCAGAGCAATTTTCCCATGATCCTTACCTTTCCTCTGTGTTCCCGCGATGCTTCCTGTCATTTTACATGAAACTGCCGAATTGCGTTCTAACTGAATGAGAACAGTATGTTCGTTTCTTTTAGAACGCAATTCGGCACTTTATTCGGATCAGAATTTCATTCTAATGAATGAAACTCCGATCCTATTCATGCTGTGGCTGCATCTTGCAGCCGCTTAGTAGATAACTCCCTAATTCACACGGTATCAGGGAGCTATCTACTAAAAGGCTGAAAGACCTAAATTGGTCTTTCAGCCACATTTACTAATACTGAGTAAAGATTACTTAGTATTAGTAAATAATATGCCCCTACTCGCTATACCGCCAGTAGGGGCATGTCTGGTAAACAGTGAGCAGCCTGTGGCTGCTCACTGTAAAAAAAACAAACAAAAAAAAACTATTGGCCCCCACCCCTAAACGACGGGTGGGGGCCCTAAAGTAAAATAAGGGGGGAGACCTAAAGTCCCCCCCGGCCCTCACCCCTGCGCGGTGGGTGGGGGTCATAATGATAATGGGGGGGACACCTACTGTCCACCCCCCCTGGCCGCCACCCCTGGGCGGCGGGTGGGGGCCATAAAGATAATGAGGGGGGGACCTACTGTCCACCACCCCTCCGGCCCCCACCCCTGGGCGGCGGGAGGGGGCCCCTAAGTCAATTCCCCCCCCACAAGGTGACTAGGGGTCCCCAAGCCCCTAGTCACCCACCCCCCCACCCAAATAAAAAGTCCCTACCTACCCCCCTCACCCTAAAAAATAGTGAGGGGGGAATAAAATACCTAACCTGTAAAATAAAATTAAACTTACCATTCGACGTCTTCTTTTTTCTCAAATCTTCATTTTTCAGCCACAAAAAAGGCCAAATAAAAAACCATCATAACCGTTCTTTGGAATTTTCCCACGCTGTGTAAAATGACACAGAGCACTGTGATTGGATGGATTTCAAGCCATCCAATCACGGTGCTCTGTGTCACTTTACACAGTGGGAAAATTCTTTTGAATTTTCCCACGCTGTGTAAAATGACAAAGAGCACTCTGATTGGCTTAAACCCACCAATCAGAGTGTTCTTAGCCTAATTGCAGGGCGGGGCAAGGCTTTATAAGCCTTCCCCCGCCCTGCGGAGCTCAGTCTGTGCTGAGCCCTCCTTGGGTGAAGATGGATTATTTTTTTGCGCTCAGGTTTTTTCTTTTTCGTCTGATTTTTTTTTGCGCTTAGGATTTTTTTTTTTTTTAGTTCGACGGTTATGATGGTTTTTTATTTGGCCTTTTTTGGGGCTGAAAAATGAAGATTTGAGAAAAAAGACTTCGAATGGTAAGTTTAATTTTATTTTAAAGGTTAGTTATTTTATTCCCCCCTCACTATTTTTTAGGGTGAGGGGGTTAGGTAGGGACTTTTTATTTGGGTGAGGGGGGTGGGTGACTAGGGGCTTGGGGACCCCTAGTCACCTTTGGGGGGGGATTTACTTAGGGCCCCCACCCGCAGCCCAGGGGTGGGGGCCGGGGGGGGCGACAGTAGGTCCCCCCCTCATTATCTTTATGGCCCCCACCCACTGCCCAGGGGTGGGGGCCAGAGGGGGGGTGGACAGTAGGCCCCCCCCCCTCATTATCATTATGGCCCCCACCCGCCGCCCAGGGGTGGGGGCCAGGGGGGTGGACAGTAGGTCCCTCCCCCCTCATTATTAATATGGCCCCCAACCGCCGCACAGGGGTGGGGGCCGGGGGGGGCAGTAGGTAGTAGTAGACATGCCCCTACTCGCGGTATAGCGAGTAGGGGCATTGGGGAGATTTTAATCTCCCTAATGCTATTATGGGGGTTATATTGACTCCCATAGAGTGAGGGGGGGCCTGGGAGGCTTATGAAGTGGTGGGGAGCACTGCTCCCTGCCGCTTATGTCTTTACATATTACAAGGAGGGAGCTGCATGCCGGTAGCTCCCTCCTTGTAATAAACTGAGCGAACAAACAAACACTGATACACTGATACATAGTGTTTGTTTGTTCGGCTGACATTTCTATTCACTCATTCGTCTGTCTGATGAATGAATGAATAGATGAAATTCCCGTTCGCATGTCCAGGTGTTTCACTGGGCATGTGCGGGAATCTCACAGTCTGTCTAGTGTGGGCTGATGACGTGTCCCACAGGGACTTCGTCTACCCACACAAAGAATCAAGATCGGGGCAGAAAATAAGGAATACAAAATAGGTAATATGGGGGTTTAGGGGCATTTGGGGGTGACTAGGGTGTCAGTTAGATGTAGTGGAGGCATGACAGTGCCGCTTTAAGTGTAAAATATATATAATTTGTAAATCATTATCTTGTTTTACTAATCATATGTTGGGGGACCTGCCCGACAACCGAGGCAGTCAACCAGCTACCAATCATGCAATCCAGCCAATCTGAGTCATGTGATAACAGTGTCATCTCGATCACATGACTCGGATTGGCTAAATTGGCTTCCTTAGTTATCAGGCAGGTTGCCCCAATCTCAATCACCTCGTAGGTCAAGTATTTAGGCAGGATGGAGAGCTTGATTGTTAGGGTTTGATATGCCGCACCAACAGTGTTAAAGCCCTCCTTATGTAGGATGGCATAGCACGCCCTAACGTTGGGGAAGGGTTGACAGTGTAAGTTATGTACAAAATAAGTGTTGCAGTAAGTAATGATATTAATTTTCACATTGGTTTTATTTTATTTTAGGACAACACAACTATTTATGTGCAGGAAGAAATGACTGCATTATCGATAAAATCCGAAGAAAAAACTGCCCCTCTTGCCGGCTAAGGAAATGTTGTCAAGCGGGTATGGTTCTTGGAGGTAGGTGAAGTTTAATTTTATTTTGAAAGGAATTACTACCACTCGCTTAGTTTTACATGTACTTTACAGACTTTTAACAATAACTAAATATACAAAATTACGTAAACATGTATGTTTGTTTATGTAGACAGTTACACAGAATACTGCACAGTATTAAATAAAAGTTATTTAGTTTCATTTTCTACAAGTTATCCATTTGGTTCTCCCCTTTAATGCTAATTGATTGGCTATTGATACATACCTCCCAAGTGTCCCTATTTAGGAGGCACAGTCCCTATTTTGGGCCCAAATCCCTCTGTCTCTACCCTAATGTC